AAATTGGCCTTTCGGAAAAAGTAGTGTGTCAGATTTCAGCTTAAGCTGGTCAAAAGAACCTTGAAAAGGAAGCCCTGATATTTAATTTTCATGGTGGAGCCTATTTGGTCAGAATCAGCAGCATCACCCTTCCTTCAACCTTATTCAAAATTTTAAATGGCAAGAAGCATCCATAAAAGGATATCTCCAAACTTTTGGACAAGCTTACAAATCAGACCCATATGAAATGAAATAAAGCAGACGGCTTCCTCCTATAAAGCCTGCCTAACTCTCTCTTTCCCATTCTTTTCCTTCCCCTAAAGATACCAAAAAATAAAAACAAAATAATAATAAAGTCCCTGAGATGCAGACCTTTTCCATGGACAAATAACAAATTGCAAACTCAGAAGCTCCAATTCAGGGACGGTGTCAAAACAACCATGATTGCAAACATAGGTATTCCTCCATGGTTATCAACGGTAAACACCTCAGTCCCAATCATGAAATTGGAATATAACAAGGAAAGTTTAATATCCACTAATAAAGTGACTTACCATCATAACTGTCGACAAAGCTCATTGTGGTATTTTAGAGCATTCAGCCATTCGGGTCCTTGTCCTTTGCACACAACTGCTCACCAGAGCCAGCAAAAAGAGTGGTTGTGTTGAAAGGATAGCCAGCAAATACGATTGCGAGTCAAATGTTTACAAACGGGTATCTAGAAATTCTATATTATCATGCTCATGGAAAATTCGGAAAATCTGTTATCCTATGCAAGCCCAAGGGGATAAGGAAAAGATTAGATAGTGATTCAACGTGACTTTATTTTGTGTGATGACACTAGATAGAATAGAATAGACTGTTAACACGCTCATCTGACTACTAATGATGTTCGACTTGTGAACAACCCAATAGCAAAGGCCAAGATTAGATAGGAATTACTCTACTAAATGTGCTATAGAAGTTTATAAGCAAGGAGGCTTTGACCAAATAAAGTAATTTGCAATTAAAAAAGGGCAACAAAATGAATGTCCTAAGCCCCTAACAGAGAAAAAGTAGCACTTTTATTGCAAGCAAATTAAGCCTATAAATATTGGCTAAAGCAATGGGGAAGAGCGCTAATAAATTTAAGGCAAATTTGCTATTGTGTTTCACATCCTTTGGAATATGAATGTGCACCAGTCATGACTAAATGTAAGAGATCCTGCCCATGATATTTACCCACGTTCACCACACCGATCAAATTTCAGACCTACATCACCGTATTTATGAGTTGCTGGTGTTAAACTTGTATTTGTTTAAAATGTCACACCTCAGAATGCCATCAATAGATTACATCCTTAGAAGATTAACAGCATCTGGCATGTGATTGATGCTTATCCAAATTTAGATAGAAACGAATGATATACTACCACAATGGTGAATTTCACAGTGAAGAAGCTGAAAATACTACTCAGGGGGCCAAGCGATCGATTCTCCAAGACCGTTTCCCATTGATCTCTTGAGGGGAATATTGCAACCTGCCAAAATAGCACACATATTACCAATTGGACCAACCTTCTATGAATTTTAACCACAATTTAAAATCTGCGCCAGGTTCGTCTATTTCCAAGGTAAAGCAAGCATCTGTCAAGAGGCAAAGGAACAGATACCAAAATGAGATGTAGCTCTAGTGTAAAATCCACATTTTTCTGCAAACCTAGACTTTTTCTTTTCCTTGTGGCATTTTTGAGAAGTGTGGTGGGATGGGGGGTGAGATTGCAGGGAGTGGAGGGTGAAAGAGAGAAGAGGCAGGAGGAGAGGAAGAGCTTTGAGTGACTTGGACTTGCTTTGAACTACCACTCAAAGTGGTTGAACTTGTATGATTGGAATATAGAAGGCATCGTCAGCTATAAGCTATTCCGGAATTGACCCAATTATCAGCTCATCCAAGATGTAGCATTAACCCAAATACGGATCTAAACAAAATGGCCCATATCATTAATAAGCAAATCCTGTTTGAAGCCAATATAGAAAGGGTTTGAAATTGTGATAGATTTTGGCTAAAATCCTCCTATTCATATTTTACAGGCCAATTATTGTAGCAAGAAAATGGACAACCTGTCATGCAAACGGGACTGCTGTCCTTGCCAAAACTCAAAACGCTCTGGTTGAAGTCTGTATCCTCCCCAGTGTTTAGGCTTTGGAATCAAACTCCTGCCAAAATGAAAAACATAAGGATTTTTAGTTCTGGTTTCCTCCCAAGTCCCAAAAGAGTCATTAGCTTGTCATATCGCTGGTCATTTGTGATCATGAACTCATTAGATGCAGGTTCTTGGTCATGATTGAATTTAGAAGTAAATCAAACAAGCACTTCATTTAGAAAGAGATTTAACGGAAATCAAGCCAATAAAAACAGCCTGAAGCATAGCTGCATATAGAATATTGGAACAAACCAAACTATAAGGGTCAATTGAAAATTAGACAACTTACCCATCAGAGTATTTTTCTTCTAATTCTTTGTATTGCTGGTGTAGTACATGCCGTCCAGGAACTATAGTACTCTGAAGAAAGAAATTAATCCTTAATTTTTTCTCAAACTATCACTTTTACTTCTAATGGACATTAACAGGGGTAATGCAGGTCATAACCCTATCATCCATGTTTCCAGTAACAGGATGTTAAAGTCACAGACCTGCTTGCTAACTATTGCTCCAATTTGACTTCCCCGAGGACGACTGTGGAAGTATTGCTCTGATTCTTCATCAGAAACTTTCTGCACAGATCCTTCCACTCTTACCTGGAAATCACAGTTCAGTGTAGCCGTGTTCATCAAGTAGACATATCAACATGCTATAAAGTTGTAGTACTATTTAATCAGATACTTTTCCACATTGCAGCAAACTTCAATTATATATTGGAAGTTGAAAGTTCAATACATCAAGTTTATGTCTAAAGGTCAAAAACAATTTCCCACATATATCTGCAACATTTCAATACATTAAAGAGGCTATTATTTATGCCTTTTGGTTAACATACATAATTACAAGGCACACCCAAATACCAGCAGAATTTCAGATTGTTCAACACATTTTACACAGGCACAGACGAAGCCAGACATGACATGCATAAGAACAGAACTTCTATCATCTAACGCACCATCCATCATTCAAGTCTCTCTCTCTCTCTCTCTCTCTCTCTCACACACACACACACACACACACACACACTCATACACAGAACCATTATATCTAAATTCACCATCCATTGTGATTTTGATAATAACCATCCTATCGACATCAACCATGAAGCCTAAGGAATCAATAGCCAGAATTCATGGTTAGTAATAGACCAAGCTAACTCGGCCAGAAAAGCTGTTACTCCCTTGCTTCAATCATACATTAAATTTGTCAATGATCCTACTTCTGGAACCAATATATCAAAAGTGCATCTGACTGCAAGTGGGAATAAGACATCCATATTTACTACAACACAAGAAGTTTCACTTTTGAAAATAAAGCGAAAACATATATAAAGAGTTCAACAATTGGCCTGAACCACACTAAACCCTAATATGTTATAAGGAATCTTAAAAACTGTTCAAGACCCATATTGCATGTTGTCCATCAAACAAATCGAGGGTAAGAAAGAGAAATGATAGAGAATTTGGCATCAGAATCAGGTATTGTTGAATCAGTAATTTCAGTCTTTGCATGCAGATGCTAGTCATATGCTCAAAAATGAACCATGCTTTTGAGAAGAATTTACTTCAGAACAGATTTCTTCTAAAAGATAATTTTCACGTCAACTAAAGTTGATTTACTTCAGCATTTCATAATGGATAAGCACAAGCCAGAACTCAATGCCCTACCTGCCGATTAAGCCCATCCCAGTAGAAAAGAAGTGACGCATGAGAATTTTCTGATAACTCACGTGCCTTTCGACTTTCATAATTGGTGTACCTGTTTGAAGTAAAAACATAGGAAATATAACAAACAATATCAAATCATAAAAAACTCTGTTAACCACACATGATTCCTTGACAGAAAAGAACACTAACCAGACAAAACCATCCTTGTCCACACCTTTCAGCAATACCATTCTTGATGAGCTGCAGCAGATGGTAAGATGGTAAAAAAGAGATGAGAAAAGGTCTACCAATAAATATCCAAAACGTATAAAGTTTTGAAATACTGCAATTAAAGTTTAAATGAAGTTGCTGGCAGTCATCATCACCATATTTATTTCATTAAAAGGTATTAGGACATCTAGAAGTGCAGGAGATATGAATTATTTCAGGATGAAGCTCGACCAGGTCGTGGCTAATTTCAACCAAACAAAGAATGGCAGAGGTGATGAAGAGGATTAGTACTAAAAAAGTTGCATAATCTAACTATTTTATTCAGAGGAAGAGTTTTTCAAATTTCAAGCACTTTACAATTCCAAAGAAAAGAAGGTTGAAGAAACAACAACCATTTACAGCCTAAAGGAAATTCATTTACAATTTTTATAAGAACTAAGAATATAATTTAAAAGTACCTCTCCTAAACTTATGGAAACATTAAGATACAAGATTAACCGATCACATTATTCCATAAAAACAAAACCCTCCACTTGTTTTCAACATATTTTCATAATTTGAAATGTACGATATGTTTCATTGTTAGTACTACTTAACATATCTTGTCACACTACAGCTGACGTCATGACTATTCAATCTAAATGCTCACTGGTTAGGCAAATTATTCTGCACAATCTTCATCATATAAGCTACTCCAACAAATATAGTGACAATTAGTAATATCAAAACTAACTTTAGTTAATATATATTCGTAAGTACAAAACTTCGTTCATTTTTGTCCACATCCATAATTAACTCAGCTTAATCCATTTAATTAATGTGCTTCTTACACAAGAGAAACTACCCGAAACCAACTTTAATATTTAAAAATCAGGGTTTGGATAATAACAATGAAAATGCTATGATTATTCAATTACCTCAAATTATAAGCATGTTTCTCATATTTAGTACGAGGAAAAGCAAATTTCTTCAAAAAATTTTGGCACATTTTAAATAGTTCCCAAATTTTCTTAAGGATTCCAGTGGGAGAAGCTGCCTCCCTTGTGGATCCATCCCTGAAGTGGAAATGAGAGTGCATCCATTAGATCAGAAAAGGGAGTCCCAAAAATGTGTACTCATTTCTTAATAATATGTAGCCTTAGATTAGCAGCTAGGATCCAAACTAACACATTTTACAGCTTCAAAGAATTAAGGTTCATTAGAAAAAAAAAAAAAAAAAGCAGCACAAATAAAGAAGCATGATTGCGGCAAAACCAGAGAGGCATACGGTTTTCCATCTTTTCCTGTTGTTGACAAACTCATAGCATTTGGTTCCTTTAAGCCAGCAGCAACCGCATCATTAAACCATTTGCGAAACTGCAAGATAAGTGAGAAGCTTACATGATAAAAGAAATAAATGCAATAACTGATTGTGAGAAGACACCAACAAAAAATGAATTTTCAAATCAAGTAAAATGAATGAACAGCATAATTTGACTTCTGAACTCATACCTGATCAATAGGGTCAGCTTCCACCTGCTCCTCCAGGAAGTCTGGAGATATATAATTCTCTCTGAGAGCTGATATATCAATTTGTGGAGGCTTTCCAATTCGGACACACATAGATGTGCCAGGATATGGCGGAAGGTGAAGCTTATATTTTTCTGCAATAGATGGTGGGACAAATCTTCCACCTAGAAAGTGGTGAGGTCCAGAAAATTTCTTGGCACACAGTTTTGGAGCAGTCAAAGAAACCTGTGTACATTTAAAATAAAGTTATTAGAAATTTGCAGTAGTTAGACACACAAATATTTAATATAAAGGAGAGGGCCGCATAACTATTCATGTTTAAACAAAAACAAAACATAAGTTTCCAAAGCACATCTAAGGCTGCATGAAAGACGCACCAACATGTCAGGTTTAATTCCTTCACTATCAACATCACCTTCTTCAACATGCCATCCAGATGGAATATCTACAGACACAATAACAGGGGACTTTTGTTGCATTTGTTTATAATTATTTAAGTGAACCAGCTTCTCGATCAGATTATCAAAAGGTGGCCTCGGTGCACCTGAAAGATTTGAAACAATGAATATAGATGATTCACAGAATTTCATAGTTTTTCCTAGACTGCACCCCATCATTAGATCACAAACTTTCTTCATGCCATGATTATACACTGATTGGGCAAATAAAAAGTTTTATGTAATGCAAAAGAATTAAAAATTTCACTAAGATTATTAAATTATATTTGTTTTTTTAAAAAAAGAAAGATAAGCCAGAAATAGTGATCAAAACCTAACCAAGAGGCAATAAGTGATTTGATCACACCATGAAAATGAGCCGTAAAATCCAGAGCCCAGATAGATGCAGAAATGGGATAAGATAGCTTATTAGAGAAAGTTGAAGTATGTACTGCCCACTTTCACAGCCAAGAAAATAAAAAGGTTCCAGTAGCAGTGGTAAGAAATATGAATCTTAAACAATAGAAGTTGATGGGGAAGAAAAGGAGAATCATAGCAGCATGGTCTTAACTTGTTTCTAGATAGATGGTAATAACAATAATGTTGCAGCATCATAAAGTATGTACATAGACATCAAGTTGAAAGCATTTACCACGAAATGAAAAGCCAAACATAGCATCTACTAGAATGTCGAAGTCATTTGACCAGTCCACAGGCAGCTCATCCACCGACAGGAAAGGGATTGACAGAGATTCCAGCTACAAAACCAGCAGATCAAAAAACAACTCAGACAAACCATGAAAGCTAAATTTTCAGGATTATTTTGACTACAGCCCTTGTATCATAACCATACCTGAGTAACAAGACCAGAATAAAGGGGTTTGGAAGTTCGCTTAGGATAACAGACGAATGGCCTATATCCAAAGTGATACAAATGACGAGCAGCAACCAGCCCATCACCTCCATTATTCCCCGGACCACAAATAGCAAGAACACGATTATACTCGCTTGGTTTATAAACCTGCAACAAGAAAAGCTCCTTTTGACGGCTGAATAAAAACATATAAGCTGAAGCACAATTGCAGATTGAACAATATATATATATATATATATATATATTTGACATTCTAGTAGTAGTGTAGCAAGATAAGTAGAGAAATCAGCTCAACATCAATAAAAAAGAAGCAGAACCCTTTAATCGGAAACTTCTTATGCATGCTTAGGTAAACTTAAAAACATGGATATTTTGTATGTTTGAATTAGTATATGGCAAGTTGGCAACCAGAGAAATTCGATACACAAAATAAAAAGAGGTATTAGCCCTTACCTCAGCAATCGATGTGGCGACGCTTAAACCAGCTAATTCCTGACCATTGACATCAACTGAAACCGTTCAACAAATGTATATTTAAGCAATGAATGAGTTTAAAATAGCCGGTAACTAACCATTAACTGATCAACGCCAAAGCCCAGAGGACCCATGAGAACCTCATCAATCTCGGCAGCTTCTCGCTGCGTTAGGTACGTAATAGAACCCTGATTTTGCAGCGAAGACGCCATTCCTCCCACTTCACCGGATTTCGAACAAAACGCTAGGATTGCAGAGCAGGAAATTGGACCCAGAAAACCCTGTTAATCAAAACAACATTAGCTTACTTGTTAAAGGGTTGGATAGATGGATTTGAGGAGAGCGAGAATGAGAAGCTTTTTACCGAGGAGATGCGAGGGAGATAACCAGATGGTTTGGCTTTGTAAATGGAAGAAGGAGAGCTATAATAAGCCAGAGGGAATGGTGCTTGTGTGAGGAGCGAGCATATCATTCTTCTGCCTTTGCCTAACACTCCCAACATTCTTTTCCTTTGTCTTGGATTATCTGATTTTTTTTTTTTTTTGTTGCGTACATAAAAATAAGAATAATAAAAACAATATCATAAAATTATAGTACTACATATTTTTGTTATTATGAAAAACGTCCAAAAAAAAAAGATAAAATAATTCAAAAAAAATAAGTAAATACAAGAACATAAGAATTAAACGAGACTCAATGTGTGACAAGAACTTTAAAATTATACAATTGAATGTTGATAAAAAAACAAGATTTAGAATTTTAATCAATTTAAAATTCTATATTTGTCACAAATGAAAATACTGGCATAATAAAGTTATGATTTGGTCTTTTAATTTTTGGGATATTATATTTTTTTTGCAATAAGTTATCTCTTTTTTTAATAAATTTGTAAATATTATCTTTCATAACACTTAAAAATAGAAATGACTCCTCTTGAAGTAAAAAATTTAAAATTATAAAACTATTATTCAAAAACAATATTTAAAATTTTAATCAATCAAAAATTCAATATTTGGCAAAAATGACATTGCTGGCATCATAAATTTACGATTCGGTCTTCTAATTTTTGGATGTTATATTCTTTTGCAATAAGTTATCTCTTTTTTTAATAAATTTATAAACATTATTTTTAATCGTATTGAGAAATAGAACTCCATTGCTTAACTTGGGTGGATTGCTAACTTTTCTTTAGTATAATATTTTAAAAAATCATTGAATTATTTAAACAATTTTTAAATAAATTTTTATTATTTATTTAGATTTAATTAAATTTGTATATCTTTATTTTAAGTTACGTTTATAATAATGGATTGACGAGTAAATGACAAAAATTAAAATAAATTTTTTTATTTTTATATTCATATAGTGTTGATATGACAAGTAAAAAAAATTATATAAACATATTATTATATCACATCAATATTACGTAAAATAAAATAACAAGTGATGTTATAATTAACGGTTAGTTAATTATCAATCGTCAAAATAAAAATATAAAAATTTAATTAAACATATTAAAATAATAAAAAATTATTTAAATTTTTTTAAATATGATAATTTTTTTAATTTTCATGATTGATTTTCAATTTTAAATATTTCTTTTTTTTTTGGGAAAATAACCAATTCTAGTCCATTGGACTATAATCAACGCCATTACAAGCTAAGTAGCTAATAATTAAACGATTCTTGTTTTATGCTTCCAAAGCATCTTCAGTGGCCGTGGAGTATATTTCCTTTTCTTGTTTCTCAGGCAACATCTTTTGAATCCTGTCCAGGAAGCTCGTCACTCTCTCCAATCCTTTTTCATCTGAAATTAACAACAACAACAAAAGGAAAAGAGATTCAATGAATCAGATGAAGAAGCAAAAATCCATGCAATTTTTACCCAAAAGGAACCATTTGCATATAGAAACCTACCAAATCTGGGAATAGTGTGGCCCTTTGGATGATGAATGACAACAGGGTCTACACAGGATTCCAAGAGCTCCAATCCATATGGCTTTAAGAAATCTGTCTCTCCTGAAAAAAAAATTGAAAAGAAAGGTTGGCTGGAAATTAATTATTGTGGTACCCAAAAATGGAAGACAATTCCATATATTGTAACTAATTATTTAAGTCTTAACTAATATTAGGTTACAAATAAAATTTTTTACTTATTTTTAAATTAACAATTATATATAATTGCAAATATTCTTTAACGTTAAGGTTTGTAACATAAATCATTAAATTTTTGTAATTATGATCTATAAATTATTCAATACTTTTAACCTTTGCAGTTTATATATCTATATATATATATATATATCAATTGTATGTAAAGATAAATATTTTAAAATATAAATTTGAAGTGTAAAAAATTCAAATTTTATAATATTAATCTATAAATTATTTAATATACTATTAGAATTATGAAGAATATTTTTAATGAAAGTATTTCACTACAATTAAAATTCCTATCAACAAAACATTGAATTATAAATTATAAATTATAAAAAAGGATTTTTTTTCCTACACTCATGGTAATTATACTCTAATTTCAGCTGTAGATGTAATATTTAATATATATGGAAAGTAATTTAATTATAAACATAATTTTTTTAGCATTCAAAATAAGTCAACAGAATTCATAAGCTTTTTAGATTTCAGCAAGTAAAACTAAAAGTTACGAAAATTTGGGAAAATAAAAGATAGAAGAAAAATGGAATGTGTGTACCTAGGAAGTGGAGGGATGGGCATTGAATGGGGGAAGAATACGCTTTCTCCGCCACTGATTCTGACCTGAACTTTGCCCCTCCAATTATTATCAAATACTTTATTTTGGGAACTTTTGTGAGAGCCACACCCTGCAAGCACACCCATCGATGTTGCACGAATCCTTAACTCTTATGGCCCATAACAAAGGTTTAAAGGAAAAATAATAATAATAATAATAATATTTCAAAATAGGAAGAGCAGTATCAACGCACCTTCGCCTGCAGTCCAGGCAACCCACCTGACAAGATAGCTCCCTGGAATTATATAAAGTTGTAAAGTGCACATGTCATTTGTTGTTACTTGGTAATAGTATTTTTTTTTTTTCAATTGGGATGAATAAATAAAAAGAGACAAGAAAGGGAACTCGGAGATTCAGTCAATTTCTCGGCAAGCAAACAGAAAACCAGACGTTAAGAGCAAGAAAACACACCTGTGAGAAACCAAGGAGACCGTCGAATGGTCCTTGCTTGATCATAATATCTTCGATATAAGCAAGGCACTCTTCAAAGTTTGTGTAACTCGTAAATTCCTGAAATATATATGAAACCGCGTTCTTTTTTCATCCGGGGAAAAAAACAACAAGAAAGAGAACAGAAATATCTAAGAATAAATCGTGAAATATTGCTTGTTTACCTTATTGAACTGAAACCACTCGTAATAAGGAGGATCAAAGATCCCTTCAACGTCGGATTTCCCCTGCGCCGGAAAAGGAGCATCAGGGTAAACTAGATCAATCTTTTCCAACACTGATTGAGGCCACTTTGTCTCCATCTGTTTCTTCAGAATCGCTCCGCTTGTTCTGAATCCATGGAGGCAAAGAAATCTTGGTTTCCTGACAATCTCGGCTTCACTTCCCATCTCCTTTGACAATATTCCTGTGTCTCTGCTCTGTTTTTTTATTGGTTTCCGTTGGTCTTCTGAGGCCTTCTTTTGCTTTTTTACCATGGGTTACCGCAATTTATAGGGCTAGGACGAGGACGATACCGTATAAGAATCTCGCTAAACACGTGCGAGCGAAAGGCTGCCACTTCTAATTTGAATTGTCCCATCCCCATCCCACTCGAATTGGGAAACAGAGGTTGGGGAAAGGCAAGTCAAACCGTAATGACGGTTATATTGTTAGTTGGACTATTTTGGACGGCTATGATCTGTCGGATGTTTCTGATTGTGAGCTGGTAGCCCTTTACCTTCCTCGCGTTTTCTCTGTTTCCACGAGAAAGGCGCGTGCGTTTGAACACCCGCGGATTACATGTTCCTTGATGTCATTTTTTTCCTTTTTTTATAATGCTTGAAAGAGTTTTTAAATATTAGAAAATTTTAATAAAATTTTATCTTTTATTGCTATTTCAATCAAGTTAATATATTTTAATTTAAATCAAATAAGTTTTATAATTAAGAGTTACTTATTTATTATTAATTAAAATATTAATTATCATTTTATACTAATTTAACATAAATTTAAATAGAACAAAATATTACATAGTTATATCAGTATGTCATTTTATTATCTATTATGATATATTTATATGTTAAGTCAATGAGTCATGGATTTCACATTAATAAAAAATAAAATAGATATTGATTATATAAACATGAGTCTTTTATCACTTATTTAACAGATTTTTAAAATTGAAAATGTGTACTTGTGATTTATATTGTTTAAATTTTGAATGTTTTTTAGATTATGAAGGTAAATCTGTGATTTATAAGTTTATTTAAATTTTTTTTTTTAAGATTTCAAATCACGTGAAATTAAATTTAACTTCTAACCCATGATAATTGGTATTAGAGGTGATGAAAAATCTATGTATATATACTCATGATTCACTTATCTTTTACTAATATGAGATCCATAACATTTTATTTCACTTAATTATGTAATACTCTCGTTGCATTGACTCTTTATTCAATTATACCTCACCTAATTATGTAATGCACTCTTTACCCACGAGATTAGATTTAACTTTCGACTTGTGACATAGTGCCTCGTATTATAGAATGATAAATTATTTATTAATTAAAAATAATTAATTAAATATTAATTATAAAAACTTATTTTTATACAAAATAAAAATATAAAAATTAATTAAATATAATAACAAAATAAAAATTAATTTGATTAGTATTTTAAATTTCTTTCAATAATTGTTAATTGTGTATATAAAACGTTTCAAGATGAAAACAATGCACCCAAATGCCACGACTATATCTTAATAATAATAATAATAGCTAACTAAATTGAGGCTGGCCTACCCGATTAAGAACATGTGGTGCTGGTGCCATTTTGTCGACCGCAAAGTTCAATGTCTACATTAAATTATGTACTAGTATTTATTTATTTAAATTTTTTAAAAAAATTTAATTTTTAAAAAATAAACTATACATACATTTATTATAATATATAGGTACTACATAAGTAAACAAAAATATTCATAGTTCATTTCATGATCTCTCCAAGTTTAACAAGCAATAAAAAAGGAAACATTGAAAATTAGATTAAAAATTCAAGGACAACCTTAAAAGTTTATTCATTACATACCCATGGTGATCATTTTTAAAATTTTTATTCAATTTATTAATTTTGAATATATCGTATTTTATAATTGGATAATAATTTTTTTTTACAAATTGATAAAAAAATTCATTTTTTGTCAATTTGGATTTAATTTTTGTGGAAAACAACTCAAGAGTAAAATTCAATTAACACAAGGAGTACGCATCTAAAATCAATCAAAAAAGAATTAGACTCAAGTAAAATTTCAAAATACCCTTAATCATATCAATTAAAAGATGTTTAATAAATAAATAACTAAATTAACATAAAATTAGATTAAAATTAAATATAAAAGGAATTCAAATTTGGGATTTAAAGGTTTAATGTGCTTTTCCTTTTTTGCTATTCAAAAGATTAAAAGAAAAAAGAAAGTGTGAAGAAAAGATGAAAAAGTGTGGTTGAGAATTTCAGTTGAATTTGCTTAGCTTAGACTCCATTTGGCAAAATACTCTCTATCTAAATGTTTAATGGTGGACAACGAGCCCTCAAAGCCAGCTTGTCGACCCGGGCCTTGAATCTTAAAAGCCACATTCACGCGTAAATAAAACTGTGGAAGACAGATTGGACCCCAGGAATACAAAAAAAAACAAAAAAGAGGGAAAGCGGTGCAGAAGGAAAAGAGAAGTTTCCAGCACCGTAGGATTATAAACTAACGGTAGATCGATCTCTCAACAGCGTCATCAACCTTTTTTATTATTATTATTATTATTTAAATAGTATTTCGGAGAAATAAAACGGGAGTACGGCTCCGTCATTGCCAACACTCTCGAAATTTCAAAAATCAAGCGAGCTATCGGGTCAATTTTTTTTTTCCAATACGATTTGGCTCAGAATTCCGTTGTCGTTTCAAGGCGTTATCGCTTATTTCTTCTCTCTTACGTTTAGATGGCATCTACTTCCAACCGAACCAGTGGCGGTTCTTTCTACGGCGGTGCAGCTCCGTACAGATCAAGGTCTATTTTTTATTCTCTTTTATTTTCTTGATTTCTTTGGATTTAGTTAACATATAATCGGAGAATCGGACGGTTTAGAATTTCTTAGCTTTCTTTTTTTAAAAAGTTGTTTGTTAGAGCTGATTTTGATTATGATTATTATTGAAATAGGGAGGGTTTAAGCACGAGACCGGTGGCTAGCTCTGATGAAATACAATTGCGGATTGATCCGATGCATGCTGATTTGGACGATGAGATCACCGGTCTCCGTAGCCAAGTTAAACAATTGAGAAACGTAAGATTATTTATTTATTGATTTTATTTTCTAATTTGATATTTTATGATCATACCTTTTATCTTTCTTTTCTTTTTTCTGTTGGATGAAGTGCATGAATGATCTTCAGCTCCTAAAATTCAACAAGATCTTGCTGATCATTTGATGTGATTTTTCTTGCTTGCTCGTTTGTTTGGATTTAAGGATTTGAGCTAAATTGAGTGAAATTTCGTGTTTAGATGGAATCCTGTCATGCACATCTTCTGGTTTTAATATATGTCATGATAATTCATCATTATTGCTTCAGTCAATGCCAAACACTGGCTCATCAAATAGAATACTGGTAACAGAAGTTCGGAACATTGATTATATATTCATATTTGGGGAGATACCGGAAATTATACCAATGTAGATAAATATCCAAGGTCATTCTGAATTTAGATAAATCAGGCTTATAAATATTTATCTTATAATGATATTTAATATATTTTTGCTTTTTTCATTGGAATTATGCTGGTTTATATTTTTTTGTGTGGATGAATGTCCTGACCCTTAGTGCAATGAGTATACATTAGCCTAAGGTTAGCTTGTCAGTTGTTTTTGAGGTTTTAGGTTTTTGATGTTTGGGGTGTGGGGGGTACAGTTCTCTTTTTTATTCATGTCTGTAGCTTAACTCGCTGAATTCTGTGAATCTTTAAAGGTTGTCTTAACTGAAGCGCTGCAGTTAACTTAAATTTTGAAAAAGAATGTTCCAAGTAAATCTTAAAGCATGCAAATTTATAAGAATATCACAATTGGGACTCCAAAAGGTTCTCATTGTATTTTAAGTGGGAGTTTGTACGAGATTGTTGTGGTCTGTCAAATGTGCTTGATTGCAGTGGCTTGGCAAGTTGGTAAAATATGATGTAGAATTTTCAAATTTTTTTGTGGAGGTTTTCTACTCGACTTTATATAATATACTCTTGGCTTGGTTATGTCTTTGCACGAATTGTATAATTTATGAGATTGGTTCCTTGCTTTCCAGATAAATTATTTGATTTTTCTGCTAACTTGGTTCTTATTGAAAAATGTTGGTGCAGGTCGCTCAAGAGATAGGATCAGAAGCAAAATTTCAGAAGGACTTTTTAGATCAGCTGGTATTTGTTACTGCTAAATGCACCCTTGCTTAACATTTGTTCTCTTTATGGTTTCTTGCATGTTATCAATCCTTGCTATGACATATTTTTTGGCTTCCATACAAGGAATAACCTCCTTAGTCTATTGTACACATTTTGAGGTTTTACTATAAAATTGCAATACAGTTTTGTATAGTGAAGTGAAATGAAGGAGGGAGAGGAGGGGGGAATAGAATTTTGAATTGGAGAAGTGTTGGAAAATAACCTGAAAAAGATGGGAAATGTTAGTTCGTGCTTATCTGTGCCTGAAAGTGTATTTATCATTTAGTTTCTCTATTATGTAAAAGATAATGTAAAAGATAATTCTCCCATTTCTCTGACGCCTACTTTTATTGAGCCAATGTCCACACATGCATGCAAAATGAATAGTATTGGTTTATCGTTTTCATGGTGATTTTGGCATGGTCTTACTTATGTCTAGGTAGTAGTGCTTTGCTATTTATATTTGGAAAGACGCTTTTCCTGATTTCTGAATGTGCATTCGCATTTTATGACAGCAAATGACCGTGATTAAAGCTCAAGCAGGGGTGAAGAACAACATTAGGAAATTGAACAAGAGCATAATCAAACATGGTTCAAACCATATAGTCCATGTGGTTCTTTTTGCACTATTTTGCTTCTTTGTTGTCTACATGTGGTCCAAATTGTCCAGAAGATGAGGTTTTGGGGGACTACTGAATACATGTTGATTGGCGATCGAAAGAAAATGGTGCGTAAATGCTTGACAGTTGACTTCTGTCAGTCGTAATTGACTTAGAAAATATTGGTTCTAGGTTTTATTGTGCTGTTGTCAGAATCCTGTTCTATCCTCCAAACGAGGAGATATTGTTGCATTATCATTCCGTAGTTTTAGTTGATTATCATATTTTCCATACTCCATCTAAAGCTGCTTTGAAAGACTTGGATTTAGTGTTATATCAAGTATCCTCCCCTAGTTGCCTACGTTAAGCACGCTTTTGAATTGCCGTGGAATATCTTGATGATTCTAACTTGGGCATGGAAGGCTTTGTTACCAATTTGTCATTTTCGTAAAGTATCTTGGACATTGGGGTATGGCCATTTTTATCCTGGTCCCATCATGATTGCCAGCGTGGGGCATATCAACGCTGACAATACCTCATGGTTGTCATGCGGAATTCCTCTTTCCAAGCATCAATTCTCTCCCATTTCAATCTTCCACTGATCTCTGAAGCTTCTTTGAAGACTTTTAATTCATGTATTCCCCTCGAAGGAAGAGGAAATTTTAGGCCTAAAATGGTGAAAATCTGTTGACAGTTACGAAGGATGGGAATCAACACCATAAACAAACTGCTTTCACAGCTCAGTAAAACAGATCTTTGTAAGGCAACCTACCTATGCCACTAGACTTTGAATCTCAATAACTGAACACACAACTATACAAGTGAGGGGAGAAAATGATTTGAAAGGATCTATTTACATCCATCCTGTACTTCAATTCTCTCTGTTCACCAGGCTAGAACAATTATTTAGTTACCACCATGCCTTTGGAAGTCAAAAGCTTTGCTAGAGATGACACCATTATCACCGGATTGAATGTTAAGTTCATCGTCCATAAGCATCAATTTGCCCACTGAAATTGCAACCAGGGCAGGTTAATTCTAAATCCCCAGCTCAAAAAACAGTGGAGATAATCATGTTAGTGGTGTCAGCAGCATCAAAAGGCTCTACAGAGGTTGTTAGCCGTCAGGTTAGATGAACACTGCTGCTCTATAGGTCCTGTGGGACTACAAAGTCGGCTCCGTTTTGGTTCGGAAATCCTCACATGGGAAATTGCCACAGCGAGCACATCCACCACACCATTTTCATCTTGTTCCTCTGACTTGCAACTTGAACTGCTGGACGCCGAGACCGGCTGTGGAACCCGACTATGAGAACCACCATCTATCCTCCTCACACTTAACTTGGATCCAGGAGAACTGTAAATTTGAATGGAAGGTCCTACTTGATTCTTTGACTTTGATTTGATGGATAATGTCTTTAAAGAACGCTCAGTGTAGAATAATATCCAGGGATGCCCTGAAATGAAACAATTCAAATGTCAGCAACTGTAGTCTCATGATTAAGCTTTCACAAGAATTGTGTGGTTAGCCCCTATGCAAGTCCTAAGGAAATTTTCTAACCAAATAACAGATTGTTTGAAAAAAAAAAAGGAAAAAAAAAGTCCACATAAATTGAGAAAGAAACAAGCATAATGAGTGGCAAAACAATCATAAGGAAGCAAAAATCATGACGAAAATAAATTAATGAATCACCTCTATGATGGCTCAACACCTTAATATATAATTGGCGAAGTTACATGCTTCATTATGAATACAAGGCTAATTCACAAACTTCTAGTGAATGTATCTATTATTTAATATACTAATGTTTTAGTAAGAGAAAGTTGGGGCTTACTTAGTACTTCATCTGCAGTTATTCTTGATGAAACATCCCTTGTCAACATTCTTGCCAACAGATCACGTGCAGGTTTAGATATAGACTCCCATATCCCTGAGTGAAAATCAAGGTTTACATTCTTGATGGCCTCAAACACTGCCTTCAAGGAGTCTCCTTGAAATGGAAGAGCACCAACCAAAAGTGCATGTAGGAGCACACCAGCACTCCATATATCAACCTTCTCTGAATAATTTCCTGACAGAACCTCAGGTGCAACATAAGCTGGACTTCCAGCCAAACCAGACAAAGTCTGACCTGTAGTGAATAGTAATAGTGTCACTCAGAAGCATTAGGCACAGCTTAAAAAGGAGACACTCAAATACTAAACAGAACTTTCCTAAGGCAATATGCTAGCATCTTTTAGCATGATCCTATCTACTTATGCATAAGAATGATCAAAGGAAAAGAAAATGCTAAAAGCCTTTAGAATTAGCAATTTAGAACATGAGAACATTAAAATTAAAATTCAATAAAAAGAATTTGCATGCCCCTGTAAATTTCTAGTTTCAAATATTTTAGCAATTATAATATGATTTAGTCTCACAAGTGCTGTGGTTGGACAGACTAAAACCAGGCCACAGTCCCTCACATCCTCCCAGGCAGATATCAACACTCCTCAATAGCAAATCACAATGCTGATAGTTGTAGACTTCTTTAATGCGATTTTATTTTTATTATTTAATGTAAGTTTTAGCACCTTGAGGATAATATCTTGCTAATCCTTTTCTTCAGCTAATTCTCTTGTTCCTGCCACCAGCAAGACATGGCCCCAGAAAGGGAAACATATAACGTTCCAGGCCAGATAACTGAGGTTCACTTAATCAATAAGCAGACAGGAAGATATGTTTTCTTGTCTCAGGCAACAACTTCTTCCCCCCCTTGTCCTTCTTCCTTCAAGCATATGTGTGACAGGCATTTTGCAGCCAATCTCAAAATAAAGATGTCACCATACTTGATAGACATTGAGAACATACAAACTTATCTCTAGGTCTCCAAACGCTTGAATATTGATTTGCAAGATAATAAACAAAGAAAGAATTTAAAAGAATCAATAAAAAGTAAAGCTCATATTCTTTAAAGCAGGTGCCGGATATTCACCATTGGAAATTCTCATGGCCAGACCAAAATCTGCCAGCTTTATCTTTCCTGAAGTTGTGAGAAGAATATTCTCTGGCTTTATATCTCTATGCACAACTCCCATCTCATGACAGTACTTAATTACTAACATAACGTCCTTAAAAATATTAGCAGCACGTTGCTCTGAATACTGACCCTCTGCCATTTGGTCAATCAAACGACCTCCAGAGCACAACTCCATTACAAGATGAAAGCAGTCCGGCTCCTCATACACTGCCTGCAAAGTCACAACCCCAGGATGACCAGATAAGTGCTGCATTATCTCTACCTCTCTGTGAACAGTCTCCTCTCCCTTACATAGTGTTTTACAAGCAAAGTCGACTCCACTAGTCCTAGACCTACACAACCAAACTGACCCAAATTTCCCCCGCCCAATTGTGGCACCTTTAACATAATCATCCTCGATCTTTTTCTTCCTACCAATTTGTGTTATTACCTCAATGCACCCTATCTTCCTCTTAAGACCTCTTCCGGGAGGGACCAAAGAAGATGCACCACAAGGTGGGGCGGTAGCAATGCCAGCGAGTCTACTTTTACATGAACAAACAGGAGGTGCATCAACATCTTCTTTGCACCTCTTTTTTAGCCTCGCGTAATCTTCTAATGAAAAATGAGACCTAATATTAGATGATCTGGAACCACAAGACGAAGCAAAATTGTTTGTTACCTCAGGAGACACATCAGTTTCACTTCCTTTCCTCTTCTTTCTCATCAAGTCAAGTATCAACTCGAACAAACTTATCTAAAACTAGACCTTAGATGCATTTAAGTTGCAGAAAATTAAAGATAATCAACAAAAATATCACATTTTACGGCGGCAAGCTCATCTGCTTTCGTTTCCTGTAAACTAAAATGAAAAACAAAAAAGATGATCAAAGCCAGTTCAAAGAACAAAGGCAAAATAGAAGAAAAGAAAAGTAAATAATATAAAAAAACTCAATTCACTAAGCCACAAAATGATGTAAACCATCAATCAAGTAAAAACGCATCTTTAATTAAAACGGAAAATTTATTAATAAAAAAAAAAAAAGAAAATCCAGATACTGAATCGATCCTGTTTGCTTTTCCGTGGATTCTCCTGGGGACCAGATGGAACCTAGATCACAATCCTAACTTTATTCGATTATTATTCAAAATTTTCATCTAATCATACAAATTAACCGAAAAGAAATCAAAATTTCAGCGCAAAGAACCAACCTTTAAGCACAGCCCAAAATCCTTCAGATTCCACCAAAGGAGAGCCCACTTGAGAAATGGCAAAAAAGAAAATGAAAAAGATTTTTACCGAAAGAAGATTCAGAAAGAATTAGAGAAATTAGGTAAGCAAATAATTGGGAAAAAAAAATTCCGGGAGAGAAATTTGAGGACGGAATCAGAAGAAATCTCCGGGTCGAGAGATTTGGGGGCTGTGAATTTATTTAACAATAAAAACTATTTCCCTGGATTACACCAGTGAGGTAATTGCGGACGTGTCCAGTTCTTAAACGCTAGGTTTTCCGAATCCGGGTCTTCATTCGGGTTCCTGGGTTTTCTTTGAGGGTTTATTCGAGTTGCTTGTGGCCGTGTGAAGGAAGATGCTGTGGTCATATTTGGACCGTGCTGATTGGTTTACGTGGCCGAGGGAATTGGTGCTTTTTCTCCTTTGCTGACGCAAGTTGATGTGATTGGTTGAAAAGCACGCGATGGCCCGCGACGTGGACGTAGATTTTTTGGTTGCAGCCGTGCTGTTGTTTGGAAACGTCTTTGTACGGGTTGTCCATACCCAATACAGAAGGTCTTTAATATTTTCAAAAATTATTATCATAATAATTATTTAAAAAATATATTTTAATTTTTTATTATTATAAATATTTTATAAATATATTTTTATATTATCTATATTTAAATTTGATATAAATCATATTAGATTATAACATAATCCATCTAACCTCTAAGTATTATCTTTATTTTATAAAAAAAGTGTTTACTTATAAACTCTTTTAATTCATTTATATATCCACTCTAATAAAATTTCTTCACTCTCCCTAGATACTTTCTTTCTCTCTAAATACTTTCTCTTATGTTTCTCTTATAATTGTTATTTTAAATTTATTTCATAACACTTATATTATTTTAGTAGTAGATTTTTCTTTGAAGAAAAAATCTCTTACATTCTGAAATTATATATATTATAATTTAATTAATTAATTAAAATAATTGTAATCTAATTAACAGTATTGTCTCCAAATTGTGTCATAAAATAATTAAATTTGAATAATTAATAATTATCTTATAAAGTTTAAATTTTTTGTATTTCGGTATCCAATGAAATTTTACATTCCAAAAATGAAAAAGCGAACGCAACCAAACGCATCCTTGCAAACGCTCGATTATAAAATTCCACTGTCTCAGTTACCCTCATAAATCAGACACAAAGCCGAAGACAAAGAAAGATGAAAATGGCTCAGTGTATAAGAACAACCGTAAACCCTCCCAAAACCCCACTCAGCTCCAGCCAAACCCATAATCCCAATTGCTTATTCCCATCAATCTCTTCCTTAGAAGCGAAACCCAAATCCAGAAAGTACCCCAAAATCTCCCTGTCGGTTATGTCCAGCCAAAACCAAAGCCAGCAACTAAATCCATCCCTTGATGCTTTGCTCAACTCTGGTCGCAAAGAAGAAGTTTTTGCCATTATAAAAGGCTCTGTTCACAATTGTCTTTCAGAGACTAATCTTCATTTAACGGTTCCTGGTATCAAATCCAAAACCAGAGGCAAGGTAGAAATGAAAAGGATTGTCACCCCCCCCCCCCTTTTTTTTTTCTCTTTGAAATTTGGCCAAGTTAAGCTTTTTAGGTTTGTACTTTCTCCTGGCAACCAAACAAAGGTTGGTGTTCAAGGGATGGGTTTTTATTTGGATTGATTTCTGCAGGTTAGAGATATTTATGATAGTGGGGATTATCTTGTTTTGGTCACTACTGATCGTCAGAGTGCATTTGATAGGATTCTTGCTTCTATTCCCTTCAAAGGCCAGGTTTTTATACTCAGATTGCTCTACCTTTTTACTACTTTGTTGATGGTAAATATTACTAGTGGTAAATGAGATGTAGTATCATTGTTGGAATTTCAATTTTCAGGTTCTTAATGAGACGAGTTTGTGGTGGTTCAATAGGACACAACACATAACCCCCAATGCAGTTGTGTCAGTACCAGATAAAAATGTTACAATCGCAAAGAAATGTTCTGTCTTTCCTGTTGAATTTGTTGGTGAGTTTCTTCGAGATTTTTACTCTTCATTTTTCCACATGGAATCGAATTCTTTCATTGTTGCAAACTTGAACTCTGAATTTCCTTGGTTACAATTCATGATTAGGGGCTATTCCTGAGTTTGGATTATAAACTGAGTTCCATTTTATCAATTAAAGCAAGCGGCAAGTTTTCCTTTGTTCATTCACAGCATGTAAAATAATGAACATGTTTCATAAGTTTTAGTTTTCTTATATTTAGATGGGGTAATTTCATAAGGTATGGAAGACAAAGACTTGTTTAGTTTAGAACAGCTAACTTTATTTTTAACATGGTCTGATTACAAAAGTTTGCCTTTTCAAATTGATCTTCTATGTAAGTTGATTGTTTTTTCTTTCAATGGGAGGTTGAAGTGCTGCAGGTTCAAAGTGATTTAAGTTTTCCATCTCTGTGTGCCGAGGTCCTTGTTTAGAGTTATTGTAGTTGTCTGGTGTAAAATCCTCTTCTGATCTGAATTTTGTTGGTATATGCAGTTAGAGGATTTGTGACAGGAAGTACTGATACATCACTGTGGACAGTCTACAAAAATGGGGTTCGAAATTACTGTAGCAATGCACTTCCAAATGGTGAGGTTTTTGTATATTTAAATCACTTTATGTTTTCGTTTGGAAATTGTGCTATATGATGGCCGATTAATATGTTTTATAGGGTTGGTAAAAAATCAAAAGTTAACTGCAAACATACTCACACCTACAACTAAGGCTGAGGATCATGATGTTCCTGTAACTCCAGATGAGGTTAATTTTTTTTTTCTTTTTCCAAATTTAAACTTGTTAGATACAGGGAAAGTATAAAGAAAATAATAAGATTCTCTTTTATCTTTCATATTGCTTCAAAGTTTTCCTCTTCTGCCACCTCCACCCCTTCAAACTAGGCTTGAAAAAAAAGGTTCCTGTTGTCTAATCTTAGGATACTGTTGATTGGTCTCTGTTTATCTTCTGGATTGCAGATAATTGGAAGAGGACTGATGACTCAAGCTGACTTTGATGAAGCCAAAGAGAAAGCATTAAGTTTGTTTGAGTATGGACAGGTAATTTAGATTCTGTTCATACACTCAGGTGCTTTCGTGATGTAATTGTTTATGATGCATGTAAGAGAATATTAATCAACACAATGAAATTTCTTGAGATGAGATCAAATTCAATATGCTAATACTGAAAATGCGTAAGAGCATAAGAAGCAAAACATCCATTGATTTGCATCTTGTGCTATGAAGGCCAGTTGATTGGAATGAAAATGATGCCTTTGGCATTTGAGAGTTGCCCTCCATTCTGTTTTACTCCTCTAATTTTGTTGAAAACCATTTTAGTACTACAAACTAGTTTACAGTGTCAGTGATGCTCTGTTGGTAGACAAAATGTTGTCATGTCAAGCATCATAGCTTATATAGAGCAATCCTGGGTCTGTCTTTATGCATGTGTGGTGTTTGTGTGGTGTTTGTACTTTCTAACAGCCAACACTTTCACTGTCTGTCATTAAAATATGATGCATTGTTTCTTTCTATGTTTCTACTTCTACCACATGTTGCTTGATCTTTAGTATATTGTTTAATGCAACTGACATTATGATTTTGTTGAAAATGCAGCGTGTAGCTTTGGAGCATGGCCTGATATTGGTAGATACAAAATATGAATTTGGCAAGGATAGTGATGGTTCAATTCTATTGATTGATGAGGTTAGATGCCACTTTCATGAAAAGATTCCCTGTTCTCTCTGTCTCTCTCATATACACATTACACCTGCAAACATGTGCACTCTTGCATACGCATCTTTCTATATGCAGGCATGAGAATTCGCTCAAACTGACATGCAAGGATGAATTTTGCATCTTGTTTTGTAATTCTAGGTGCATACACCTGACTCAAGTAGATATTGGATTGCCAATTCTTATGAAGAGCGCTTTCAGAATGGTCTTGAACCTGAAAATGTTGACAAGGTGGGTAGTGAATGGTAGTTATGCATGTCTGAGTTGTGTTTAGGGACAAAATGGTGGTTTTGCGAACTCACATGTAAAGTTCGTTGATTTTCACTTTGACTTCCTCGCTACTCATGTGCTGAGGAAATTTTCTGATTTTTAACGTGTAATTATGTATGGAGTTTACAGGAGTTCTTGAGGTTATGGTTTAAAGATAACTGTAATCCCTATAAAGATGAGGTAAGTTGCAACAAGAAATTAAATTTTGTGCTCTCTGATGTCTGTTGATATGAGGAAATATCGTAAATCTCATTTGATGATGCAATCCTTAGGTCCTTCCTGATGCCCCTGAAGAACTTGTCTGTGAGCTTGCTTGGCGGTATGTTTTCCATGTTATTATACCTTTTAATTAGGCACAAAATATGCTATTATGAATTTAAAGAGAAAAGAGAAAATGAAGTCAAAATCTTATTCAGTTCGGATTACTTCTCATACCTGACATACTGTTCTTCATTTCTCTTCTCTCCTGTCAATTGAAACATATTGTCACTCATTTATCAGCTCCCAGATGTAGTATGTCGCTAGCGTAGCCCTTATCCCTTTACAAAACGTAGCTGTATGAATCCATTTTTACAAGCTTGTGGAATTTGTTAAACAATTATTAGTCCCACAATTAAACAGTGGTAAATTGTTTATAGAGAAAGACAATTATTACGGTTTTGGGTGTGTGTTTTCAATATAGATTCTCTCAATTAATTTTTTTTTAATTATTTTTAATGCATTCAGCACAGTTCACATGTGTGGGCTGCATTCATTTGTTGTGGACCCTAGACATGTGAACTCTGACGATACTTGTATTGAAAGATAGTAGAGAGGAGCCAAAGCCATGTGTTGGAACCCACGTGTTTTTGTATACCTTGTTCTGCTTCTTGATGTAGAAACTTTTTGACAATGTTTTATGATTGAAGTGCTTTCGACGATGTCTGCTTGCACTGATGTTAACGTTTACACCAGGTATATCTTTTTGTACGAAACAATAACAAAATCAAGATTTGAGATGCCATTGACAGAGGTAAGATTTAGCACTATAGATGCCTTTTGGTTGCTATTATGCAAAGTGGCAATTTAATTTTTTCTTGCAGGAGCCAATACATGATCGAATCTCGCAAAATGTTTCGTCAGCATTGTTATCTCTGCAGTAACTCGAGAAGATTGTATAAGAGCTCATGGCTTTTTTAGGATGGAGGCTATAGTGAGAAGTATAATGAGCATTCAGTGATTAAAAGAGGTACTTGGTAGATGAACTTTGGGTGGAATAACAAGCTGGATTGCCCTAGTGTAACACATTGAGCACTTATTTGCTTTTAAATCTATAGTTAGTTATGACAAAAATTTCAATGAATTCAAAGAAGATTAACGTACAATTTTGACATTTTTGTGGGATAGGATTCTTTTTGAGAAACTCAATAGTATCTGCATCTGTCAATTCCTTTAGTTAAAATTTCTCATCGGCGCTCGGACTTTTCTTCACTGACATTTGCAAGCATGATTAATTATTTTGAATGGACTAACTAGAGAGAACAAGTTCATTTTGACGACTAGAAAATGATTCTCCTAGATGTTAAGGGAAACAAGAAACTTTGAAGATTTGTGTCAAATGAAAAATATGAAAATAGTTAAGATTGGGGAAATATGAACTTGGAATTTTCATTTTAACAGAGTTGTTGGAAACTGTTTTTATGCAAGACGAGACCTCTAGAGTTCAAAGTTTAAGCAGGTGAGTCCATATGCCTCATGAAACACAGTCTCATAGCCAAAGTTCATCAATTTTATCTTGTCACGAGGTCCACTGTGGGTTTTGCTCGAGTCGAACACAAGAGTTCATATGCCTTTGTGATATATAAACTCACTGAAGAAATTTTTGCTTGCTATTAAGAAGTGATTGCTTTGCCGTTCCTAAGTATAAGGCTTCTTCAGTCATTTTATTTGTTTTTCTTCCTTAGTTTTACTGCAAACAGGGCATATCACCTTAAGCAAGCTATGGTTCTAATTTTTCCAGCATTATCCTCGTGTTTGATGTGTGTGTGTGTGTTGAGAGAGAGAGAGAGGAAATACAAAATTTAAACAAGAATGCTGCCAAATTTATAAAAAGAATAAGCAGAGCATTTCATTCTGCCTCAGTAGTCTTTAGCGGGGAACACACGTGAGCTTCTTTCCTCACTAATAGAATTCTTTCATCCCAAAAACCCAGAGCAGAAATTAAGAGGCATTAGGAATAATTCCTGGAATCAATTTCACTTGCTTGAACAAGGGTAGAAATCTCATCATCCATCTCAATTTTATCCTTATCCATCATTTCAAGGATGTCATTAGCTGGTCTCTTGGCAGAAACGTGGATTCTAAGCAATGATTTATATATTGGTGAACTTGCAAGACCCATAGCTTGAATATCTCTAATAAAGTTGTTTGCATCTTCCAATTTCCCTTGCTTCTCAAAGTACTCAGCAATGGCCACAAGAATACCTTGGGATGGTCTCCAACGACAATCTTTTAACATTGCGAACCCTTCCTTCATAGCATTGATGGCCTTTACCATCTTATGGCTTCTCACCCACCCCTCCATTAGAATTTCCCATGTCTTGTAATTAGGACACCCACCTTTCTTCAATGAGCGGATATACAGTGACTCGGCTTTTTCTACCCAACCATTCCGCATGTAAGCACCTAAAAGGACATTGGAGACTCTGACATCATACTTCTGACAGTTGGACTCCCATTCCATAAACACCCTCTCAGCTTGTACAAGATCACCTAGCTTAACCAAGCACGACAATATGCACATATAATTGGCACAACTCAGTCTCTTACCTACTGCTTTACTGGCTTCCCATAGCCGCATAACGTCATCCTTACTGTTCAAAGATGTATATTGAGTCATAAGGAAGATATAACCAAAGCGGTTATTTGTAGACAGCTTTGCTTCTGCATTTTTCAGTGCAGCAGCTGCTTTCTCAACAAGACCTGCTTTAACATAAATATTAGCTAAAGTAGATAGTGTGGACCACCCCACTTTGGCATTCTCATCACTCAGCATTTCTCTGTAGACGGCCTCTGCTGCTGCAACCCCAGATGCTTTGGCACAAGCATCCATCCAAAGGTTGTAGGATAGAGCATATTTGGGTATTTTGTTTCGTGTCATTTGCATAACAACTAGAGGTACTTTTTCATACTGACATGTTGCCATGTACAGCTTCATCATTTCAATAAATAGATAGGGGCTCAGGGTCAGCCCCAAGCCAGTCAGCTTATTCATGAAAGCCTCAGCTTTTCCAACGTTTCTTTCTTTTACATAGCCATTAAGAAGAGGGAGACAAGCTGCTTTCTGCGAAGCAATGTTGGGTAGACGATCGAAGTATTC